GGCAAGCCGTTCTCTTCTGCGTACTTTTTGGCCAATGTGAATGATCGGAGTACTTTCTTTTTCTTTCCAGCCACTGATGGTGGGTGCCAGTACCCTCGGATCTTTTTTATCTGGGTGGGCGATTACATATACAAACATATACACAGTCAAAAAAAGGTACCAAGTTTTGAGGTCGACATCAAAGTCTAATATCAATGTTTCTGAAACCACGTCGCCAAGGGGCAATCCAATGCCCCTGCCGTCTCCCCACCCGCCCGCATGCGGCTTTCCAGGTGCCATTGGCTCTCATCTGCCATGCTGCCAAAATGGCTGGCAAGATCTTGCACGGGCGGGGATGTCAGAAATACTAACTCTTATCTGTTCTTTATGTTTTTTCCTGTCTTTCGGACTTTGGGGACATATTCCTATTTATTGCTTTTGTTGGAATCAAAACACTCGGATCCAATTCCAATGGAAAGATTTTGAATATTCTTGCCAATCTTTTTTTCCATCACCAATGTTTTGGGCATGCGAGCTCAGCCTAGCAGAGCAGAGAGGCGCGCAAATCTGCATATTTTTTTGTTCCAAAAAAAGTGATACAACACAGCAACAAGAAAGAGCGCAACAAATTGAACACCCTTTGTTGTCTATAAAATGCCATGTCAGATCAGTCAGTCAACAACTTAGAAATATCAAAATTCATCCACGGTGGTAATTGATCTCCAAACCTTTCCACTATAAAATGCTAATTCAGATATGTCATCCTTCTGTATGTGTGTGTCAACCTGAACCAACATAGTCTCTATGAATTGCAAATCAGATTTTACTATCAACACTATCTTCGTTCTATAAAATGAAATTTCAGATTAAGCTATGTTTATCTTACCACACGTCTAAATTCTCTATGAAGTGTCTTGTTCAGGTATACCCCCCCCCCCTATATATGAACTACTCAAGTATTCTAAGAAAGGCGCTGTCTATAGAATGCCGCCTGGAACCTCATTTCATAGTGGCAAAGGATCCCCATTTCATAGACCAACAACCACCATGGATGATATGATATGAAATTATATGTGATACGTGATATGTGTCATTGGTCATTGGATGGAGGGTTGCATTAGAACATTGGTGTGTATGAGCAATGGGGCAAGGATGTGACAACCTGTGATGTGTGCAAACAAAACCTTGCTGTGTGTACTCTCTGTCTCATATACAAAGTCGAGGTCTTCCAAAAAAACGACAAATAAACCAAATGCCCAGATGTCAGGAAGCAGATCACAGACTTCCTCATGAGAAAGTTTGCCGTTTGTGTGGACGTGCGTTGCTTTGCAATGGAGAACGACCCCATGAAGCAACAGTTCATCAAGCAGAACCATCGAGGGAGCAGCTCTGCTGAAATTTCAAGTTGCATTAGACAGCTCATGCTTTTTGATTGGCGTGTGGGGGGCTCTGTGTATTTGTTAGCAGAGTCTGTTTCTTTTGATTTGGACTTTGAAGTGTCACGACAACAAGAGAAACACAGATGATAACCGCTACCACTTGCCTTTTGATCTTGCACGCAGTTGAAGTAGCATCAAGAACCAAGGGTCAAGGGTCTTGTCAAGGGTTGCAAACAAAAAAGCACGTTGCGCCGTGTGTACACTTCCTGAGTGGCCCACCTGCTGAATGACATCTCCTTCGGTGTGACTGGAGGGCATTGCGTTCTTCATGACAAGACATGTCACATTTCTGTGACGTCTGAGGAGTGCTGCGATTTGTTGGTCACATGTCATTGTGCCATGAGGCCATGAGCCATTTCTAGGCAGTCAGGTGAGGTCAGGACAATCATATGTGGCCAATGGTCTTTTCTCAGAATCACGCAATGTCTTTCATCCAGTCCATGTTTGTTGGCTGATTCCAGAATTGCAAAGCAAGTAAGAAGTCAGTGTATAGGTGTCACTATTGCGTGACAAATCAATGAATCGTATCTCCCTGATCAGTATGTTGTGTCTTGCTGAGAGGACATTTTCGCATTTGGATCTCCATGCTGCCCGTTTAGCATCCTGAACTGCAAGCGGGCCCCGAACTGGAATCCTTTTCTGGAGGAAGATGCGCAGCCATTTCTGTCAGGAGCCAGACACATACGAGACTTGGCTGGTGATGGGAGCCTCTACGGGTTTCTGTAGATTCTCTAAGCAATCACAAGAACCAAGAGCAGAAACAACAAACATATGTCCACCACAGACACCACATCAAATTTCGTTTGAACTTGTTCATTGGAAGAGAGTACAATATAGTCTAGTCATGCAGTCCGAGTCGTCTATATATAGTCGAGTCTGTAGGCTCAGCACGGACCCTGTGGAAACACCAAACCTCTGTGCTGTGTCTTTCATTTGTTGCTATGAAGTATTTGTGTTGTCAGAACAGATCGTAATGAGCAAAAAACATTTGAGGCCAATGACACAGCTCTGTAGCTTTTCAAGTTGGGCCATTAACCAAACTCTCCTTATTCAAGGACACAGGCGCCCGGCCTGTGTGATGATGGAGCAGGCAGGCAGCCGGCGCACAAAAAACAAATTAGACCGGAAGCGCAAAGGGTCAGAAAGGCCAGACTGGATCTTAATTTTGGTAGCGCGTTCGGATTTGCATTCATTCAGGTTTCAATCAATCGGTCAGAATACATACTGTAACACAGTATGACATGACACGGTATATGATATGTGATATGAGTCGTTATTCTGTTGTTCTTTCTATTGTTGATTTCAATCAACACTGACTTCTGGCATAGGACAAACTGTTGGTTCAAATCGTTTTTTCATGATGTGAAGTCAAGTTGACAGAAACGTGTGCAATGTTGTGGGTCCTGTTGAGTCTACAGCACAT